GACTTCCTATATGCTAGGCAGGGGTTTTACTACTTGAACCACACTCTCAGCCCTTTATTGCTTTAGTTACTTTTCAAATAGGGTCTCCTAAGCCTGGTGCCGGTGGCTCATGCCTATAATCCTAGCTACTCAGGAGGCAGAGATCAGGAGGATCACAGGTTTGAAGCCAGCCTAGGAAAACAGTTCCAGAGACCCTATCTCAAAAAACCCTCTACAAAAATAGGGCTGGTGGAGCGGCTCGAGGTGTAAGCCCTGAGTTCAAGCCCCAGTACCGTAAAAAAAAAAAAAAGAAAAAAAAAAAAGGTTTCCTGTTGTTGCCCAGAGTAGCCTGGACCACGATCCTTCCACTTATGCCTCCCACATAGCTGGCATGACATGTACTACCACACCCACCTTATTGTTTAAGATGGGGTCTCACTAACTTTTTTGCCCAGACTGGTCTCAAACCTGGATCCTCCCAAACTCTGCCTCCTGAGTAGCTGAAATTACAGGTGTGAGCCACTATGCCTGGAATCTCTTTCTCTCTTTTAAGGAAGAGTTTTGCTATGTAGCTCAGGCTGGCCTCAAACTCATAACCCTCATATCTCAGCCTCCTAAATGCTGGGATTAAAGATGGGAATTACTGTACCCAGCTACAGATTATTTTATTGAATCTGACATTCATAAGGGTGGTGATCTTTTTAGCTCCACTTTACAGATGAGAAACAGATACAGAGAGCAAGTAGCCCCTGGGCCACATGGCTCAGGAGTGGCAGAGCTGAGCTCAGAGGACCCAGCAGTGAGCTTACATAACCCATGCTCAGAGCTGTAAACCCTTTCCTGCCTTTCTCAGAGGAAGCTAAATGAGTGACTCTACTGGTGGAATGGGTGTGGCCTCTTCTCATGAGTGAGCTTCTTAGGAGATGCACCCTACCTGCCCCCCAGCACCTCAACTTCCTGCTCCTGGATCCTGGACCTGCTTGCTGTGTGATCACAGTCACATTATGCACCCTCAGGACTACTGGGAGGGTTCAACTGCATGCAAAATCACAAGGCTGATACTGTCTGCTGAGTGTCTACTCTGCCAGTCCTGCACTGGGGAATGAGCCAGACCTGGTCCCTGCCCCTAGGGAGCACAGGCCCTCATGTCTGCTGGGTGAATGGGGCATTCTGCTCAAGAGTCACTCCAGCTGGCACCCAGTGCAGGTTCACTTTTAGGACTTCCAGAATCCCCACCAGGGTAGCCAGGCCAGGAGTAGTGTGACCTGGGGTCAGGGCTCAGTGTGACACACCTCCCCCGCCATTTGCCATATGACTTACTCCAGAACCTCCTTCTCCCTCCCAAGACTGGACAGCTTCACTTTGTCAGGGGACTCAGTGGGGAGGACTGAGGTCCTATTCCAGACCCCGCTCACTCACCAATGCGCTCAATCCTCGTCACATCGCGGATCTCAGGGACTTTGGTCGTGGCTGTCTGGGGTGCAGGAAGATGCATGAAAAAACTCCTTGGGGTCCCAGATTGCAATTCCCTGTCCCTCCCTCCAACCTCCCAGGACAAACTCCCTCCCCTAACAGGCAGACAACAGACCAGACACCAGTCACTCACCCCTCTCAGCTGTCATGGACAGCTGGGTGACTGATCCCACTGCACTGTGATACCCAGGAACACAAGGCCCATGTCTCATTCAAAACAGTTCTGTCTTCAGGGCTGAGACACTATTTAGTAAGTGAATGATGACATCATCCCGCCCCCACTAACCATGAGCTCTGTAAGGACATGCACTATGTACAGCAAGCACAGAGCTGGACATGGCCTGGCCCCTGCTGACTTCCCAGCATCCCCTGCCCCACGCTGCCTCAGCTCTCAGCCACAGGCTTTGTGTGTGGTCCTCAGTCCAGACTGGTTTTCCCCCACCTCCTATTGAATTAGATCAATCATCACCCCTAAGGGAGGACCCCCTCACCACCACCCCGACAGGCTGGTTCAAGGGCCTCTGGGTGTTCAGACAGATGAAGGGCCTTCCTTGGGAGTCTAATCTCCCCGTGTTTAACTCTTAATCACCAAGAAGGGCACAGCCCACACCTCTCTGGCTCACCTTGGGACTCCATGTGTGCAGTTTGATACACTGGAGCATTGAGCTCATTCAACAAGCATGGACCAAGGCTCCCTGCATCTCCAGTTGTCACAAGAGGAGTCAGCACCCTCCTTTCTCACATGGGGAGGGACATGAGCAAACCCCAGGGACAATTCAAGGCCCCCTGAAGCTCCAAATGGCAGCCTTATTCATAACAGCATAGATGGGTACGCCCTAATGCTATCACTGATGAGTAAACAGATAAAATGTGGTCTATCCACGCCATGGAAGATTATTCAGTCATAAAAAGGAATGACGCTCAGATGCCTGGTATGATGGGAATGAACCCTAAAAACATGCTAAGTGAATGATGCCTGAGCACAAAAGAGCATACTCACATTGTTCCATTTATATGAAATATCCAGAAGAGACAAACCCATAGAGATTAGTGAAGATGGGCATGGTGGCATACACCTGTAATCCCACAACTCTGGAGGTTGAGGCAGGAGAATAATGAATTCTAGTCTAGCCTGGACTACTTAGGGAGGAGACTCTGTCTCAAAAAACCCAAAACTAACCAGGCGCCCGTGGCTCACACTTGCAATCCTAGCTAATCAGGAGGCAGAGATCAGAAGGATCGCAGTTTGAAGCCAGGCTGGGGAAACAGTTTGTGAGACCCTATCTCGAAAAAAATCCATCACAAAAAAAACAAAGGAGGAGCTGGTGGAGTAGGCCCTGAGTTCAAATGCCAAAAAAAAAAAAAAAAAAAAAAAAACCTCAACAAAGAACAGAACAGAGTCCCCTGACAAAGATCAGTGGTTGTGTAGGGCTAGTGGTGGGAAATACGGGAAGATTAAAGGGGACAGGTGAAAGGCACTGGGGTCTTTTAGGGGTGATGAAAATGTTCTAAAATTGATTGTGGTGAGATATGAGAATCCCAAGTTTGAGGCCAGCCCAGAAAAAGTTAGAGTGACTCTGTCTCAAAAACAAAATACAAACAAAAGGACTAGAGGATTGGCTCAAGGGGTAGAGCACTTGCCTAGCTTGTGTGATGCACTGATTTCCCCAGGGTAATGAGAAAAAATTTAAAAAAGAAATACATGGATCCAAGAATCCCAAACTCCACTCTCCTGATAAAAAACAGACCCCTTATAGGAAACAGGCTCCTACAAGGCCTTTTCACCATAAGCCTCTCATACACCCTGCTGCCCAAGGGCCCCTGGGGAAACCATTTTAAAACACAGTACTTGGCTGGGGGTGTAGCTCAGTGGCAGAGTGCATTCATATTATGCATAATACCTGGAGTTCAATCCCCAGCACCACAAAAATAAATAAATAAATAACAACTGAGTACTCACCACACCCTCACTCATCCAACACTAGCTCAGCAGGACTTCTGGCCACTGCCCTTTTCTCTTCTACTTCTGTATCTTCCTTCTCCTCACCTTGGTATCAGTAACAGACCTAACATTCCCCTGCCCTTACTTGACTGCCTGCCCTTGACTGTGGATGCAGTGAGAACGAAGGTAACTGGAAGCCAGCTCAACCCCCAAGTTCAGCCCAGGATTTTTCTCCATTCAGATGTTTCTAGAACAGATGCCAGTTCCAGTGTGTCTGGTCTCACCTCTTTGGGATTCACATACATTTATTCATTGAAACATTCAAGTAATAATTTATTAAACATTCACAAGGAGCCATGCCCTATATGAGGTGCTGGAAATATGAAAAGAGTCAAAATGGTACCATGACAAGATCCCAACCTCTGGGCCCCGAATCTTTTCTCTTTCCCCACTGAGAGAGATATATTTTTGGTTTTCATCACTCCAGTAAATGCCTACTAAATGAATTCCTGTTCGCAAGCACACGGGACAGGTCCCCTGTCTGCTCTTCTTGTCCCTCAGAACTCAGGTGCCATTCGCACCACAACCAATCTAGGATCTCAATGGTTTGAAACCCAAGACACAACAACACTCATCAGACACTAAGGCAAAAGACCGCAAAACTGGACGTTGACTGCGCCCAGAGGATTCTGGGAGTTGAAGTTCCTACAACATGATGGGAAACAGATGAGAGATTCAGGGATCCCAGCCTATTCTTTCTCCACTCCCTCAGACTCTGGAGCCAGAGCGCCCAGATGCATCCCTCTGTCAGAACCGGTGGTCCAGACTCAAAGCTCCCTCCTCCATCAGTCCCAGAAGTCCAGACCCCAGCCCTCCTCCCTCACACCCAGGGGTCCAGGCCCCGGCCCGTCTCCCTCAGACCCAGAATCCAAGCCCAACCCTCCTCTCTCACACTTGAAAGTTTGGGCTCGCTCTTCAGTCCTCCAGGCGCACTTACCACGGTTGCCATGATGCTCACCAACGGCCCAGGTCCTAGCGGAAACGGAAATGTGCTATAGCTAAGCGTTTGGCCTCTCTAGGCCAGGAGGTCGTCCAAATTCTCTATGGTTTTTTATAAACATGCAAACACTCCTCTAGGGGCGTGACGGCATGTTAGGCCACGCCCACCTGGCGAGGCTACACTGTCGGGTGTCCGGAACTCCTGGGTTCGTTCCCAACCCCTCCTGACTCCTCCTCCTTTTGCCCAGCCTCCTCCCCTCCCTTTGCTAGGGTCGATTGCAAAATTCTTACTTCTTTCAGCAACCACACGTCCTCCACGCTCCCTTTCCTCTTTATCCCACCCTCCCCTTCCTCCCCACTTTGGGGCCTCCTGCTTCAGATTGACAGATCTAAAAGGCAATCACGTCCATTATGCGCCGCAGCAGGCCCCGCCCCCTGGGGCTCGCTTCCACCTCTAAGGTAGTGGCGGGGCTCAGCGAACCTATGAGGAGACGCAGGAGCCTCCGCCCCCAAGCCCGGACCAATTGGCGCTGGCCGGGGGCGGGCACCGCCTCCTGGCGGCCGCAAGGTTTCACTGCAGGGGCACGGATTAGCTCAGTGACGCTGCGGCCACCTCCTGCCTAGGTCCCAGCGCTCCCGGCGGGGGTGCGGTCGTGCAATAGGAAGCGGAACGCTTTGCAAGCTTTCCGTCTGACACCCGCTACCCGGGCCGCTCACTCTGCTTGGTGCATTCCCTGGACACCTTTGGGGTCCCCACCTGAGGTGCTCGGAGCCCCTTTCCTCCACCAACCATGCCTCTAAGCCGCACTTTGTCCATGTCCTCACTGCCAGGACTGGAGGATTGGGAGGATGAGTTCGACCTGGAGAACACAGTGCTCTTCGAAGTGGCCTGGGAGGTGGCCAACAAGGGTGAGCATGCCAGGCGTCGGGCCCTTGACTAGAAGGGCAGTCAGGGATGGGAGCCCGGAACTCTTGGGCTCGTTTGGGGACAGAGCTACCCCGGGGACTCTTGGGTCCTGGGCAGAGTGCCTGTGACTTCTGTGTCCTTGAGGAGGGGCTGGAGTATGTCTCCCAGGCCCTGGGAGGAAGGAATGAAAAGCTAGACAGAAGATGGAAGGAGGCTTCTCCTGCGTCCTAGGGGAGAGGGCCCTAATCAGAGACCTGGTTCTTGAACAGAGAGGGAGCTGGGGAGACTTATGTTTGCAAACCTGGGGAGTTCCTGTGGACCCCGGGAAAGTAGTCTGGGAAGTCATTTGGATCGGGGATGCATGGAATGTGGTGGGAACTTGAGGGTCTAGCCATGGCAGCGAAAGATGGGAGGAGACTGATTGTCAGGTCCTTGCGTGGGAGAGGGCTGGGGGCCTGAATGCCTAGCTTTGAAGGAGCGTGGGGCCTATGCCATGAGTTCCTAGTAGAGGAGCCTGTGGCCTGTGATGCATGCATGGTGGAATGGGGAAGGCTAGGAAGTCCTAAGTTGGTCAGGGGTTGGGCAGTAGGATGGGAGTGGCTGGAAGGTTGCATTTCTGTTGCTGGGCTTCCACAACCCTGAGCTTCTGGCCTGGGTGAGAGGAGGCTGGGGCTGGGGAGGTGGGCTGTCACAGTGTCACTCCTCAAAAGAGTCAGGGTCTAAGCGTTTGCTATGCCTGGGTTTGGAGAAGAAAGGGGCTCGGTCCCCACAGTGAGGATACACAGCCATGCACTCCCAGCCTCCTGGGTTTGAGTTGGGATCTGGAAAGGAGAGGGCTCTGCATGCCTGTGTCCCCCAGTCAGGGAGAGGAGACTGGGAGACAGGTTGGCAGGGTCCAAGAAGGACAGGAAATGACAATTTAGGCTTCTTTTGGGTAACTACAGGAAGCTGATAGGGCCATGAAGGATTCTCATACTGTGTCCTGGAGCCTAAGAATTTGAACCCAGCTCCTGAAAGCTGGGAGCTCCAGAACCTGGGTCCCAGTGATCCTAAGTGTCTCAGGCTTCCAGCCCGTAATTCCCTCAGACCAAGGAGTCCAGACCCCCATTTTCTTCCTCCCTCAGACCCGAGTCTAGCATCCTCCTCCCTCAGCAAATTAATCCCAGCCCCCTTTTCCTGTAGAACCAGGAGGGAAAATAAAGAACCAGGAGTACTGTCCCCCAGCCCCCTTTTCCTCTTAACTCAAGCCCCCAGCCCTTGACCCCCTCCTCTGATTCCAAAGTATGGGATCCCAGGGCCTCCCTCCTTCCCCTACCCCAGACCCCGCATGTCCCCTACCCCACCCCCAGTCCCTGACCTGTGGATCTCTCCTGGGGCCTGTCCTCATGCACTTGGGCCCACAGTGGGTGGCATCTACACGGTGCTGCAGACAAAGGCGAAGGTGACAGGAGATGAGTGGGGTGACAACTACTACCTGGTGGGACCGTACACGGAGCAGGGTGTGAGGACCCAAGTGGAGCTGCTCGAGCCCCCGACCCCCGCCCTGAAGAGGACACTGGACTCCATGAACAGCAAAGGCTGCAAGGTGGGATGGGGTCAACTGAGGACAGAGACTTGTCACAAATGGAGAGGGGCAGGGGAGGGGGTAGCTAGCCCAGGAACAGTGAGAGGCACAAACAGCTCTGAGTGTCACTTTCCCAGGCAGACCTAGAGAAGGAAACAGAAGGAAAGAATGACAGACACGCAGAAAGTGGCAGGACCCTGTGATATGGATGGTGGATCTCAGATGTTGATGAATGGAAAGACAGACTGGGAGATGAATCCAACAAGTCACGATCCTCAGACCCAGGGAGGGGCACAATAGCTCATGTCTGTAATCCCAGCCACTTAGAAGATACAGATCAGAAGGTTTGTGGTACAAGGCTAGCCTAGGCAAGAAGTTAGCAAGACCCCATCTCAACCAATAACCTGGGTGTGATGGTGTTCACCTGTGGTCCTAGCTGCTCCGGAGGTGTAGGTAGGAGGGGCCTCCAGACCCTATCACAAATATAAAGTAAACAAGGCCTAGGGGCATAGCTCAAGTGGTAGAGCACCTGCCTAGCAAGCCTAAGGTCCTGAGCTCAAACCCCAGTAATGCCAGAGAGAGAGAGAGAGAGACAGTTAGACAGAACCTAGGAGTGGTGCTCTTGGGCTCTGCAGGTTGGAGCAGTATTCTGGAGCCTGAAGTTCAAATTCAGCCTCTCTACCTACTGCCTGTGTGACCTTGGCTAATGAACATACTGATAGCGTCTACCTTATTAGGGGTGCTGGGAAGCCAAAGTCATTAATAATCATAAGGTGTTTGGCCCTCGTCCTGCATGACGTTATTTCTGTGCTGTGAACTGTTATTGTCATTGTCACCCCACAGCTTGCAGAGGTGAACAGGCTTGTCAAGGGAAAGGAATGTACCGCCTTTAGATATAGAGGAGAGGCTCCAAATGCCTCAGAGAGAAAATGAGGCCTAGAAAGAGAAAAAAGACAGACTATTAATGAAGAGGACTGAAGAAGGCAGACAGATCCAGGGTACAGAGGCTGAGATGAGCAGATCCAAGGGCTAAAGAGAGGAGGGGAGAGTCCCAGGGCCTCAGGGTGATGAGAAGGGGCTTGGCCGGGCATCAGTGGCTCACTCCTGTAATCCTAATGATTTGGGAGGCTGAGATAGGGAGAATCCTGGCTTGAGGCCAGCCCAGGGGAACTAGTTCGGGAGACCCCATCTCCAAAATAACCAGAGCAAAATCGACTGCTCCAGCATTAGATCACCTGCTTTGCAAGTGCAAAGCCATGAGTTCAAACCCAGTCCCATCAGACAAACAAACAAAAAAAAAGAGCGAGAGAGTGTCAGACAGACAGACTGGCCAGGGTAGCATGGTCTTGGGGTAGCAGGCAGAAGCCATAGACAGGTGGGGGGCTGGGGGGCAGAGATATGGTAGTTCTTCCTCATTCATAGTTTTGATCTAGGGTGGGGTCAGGAGTCCATTCAGGCCGGACTATGTCCCTAAGGGACCCCAGAACGTCCTAGTCCCTCCCCACAGGACAGCTGCTCCTAAGAATAGCCCCCCCCCAGCTAAAGGGCAGACAACAGCTGGGAGGGGGAAGGGCATGCAGTGAGGTTCTGGCCTCCAGGGAAAAGCCAGGTTTGGGGAAGAGAAATGGGCTCACCTCATCCACTGGTTAGAGCTGTGGCCACAGGCCCAGAACCAAAGCCGTGGTCTCAGAAAGAAAGCAAGCCACCAGTGAAGAAATGTGGCCTGGCTGAAATGAGACAGCAAATCTTAGAAACATGGCAGTCAATAGAAAAACGCAGCCCTGGGATGTGGGAAGAGGATGGGAGGAATTAGAATTGTGGTTGCAAAATAGGCAAATGGACAGAAAAAAAGAGGCAGGAAATGGAAGACATTTGTTGAAAAGGGCAAAAATGAGGCTGGGGGAGCGGGACACTGGTGCTCACGCCTGTAATCCCAACTACTTGGGAGGCTGAGATCAGGCTCAAGGCCAGCCTGGGCAAATAGTTCATGAAAATCCATCTCCAAAATAACCAAAGCGAATTGGACTGGAGGTGTGGCTCAATCGGTAGTGCGCCTGCCTTGTAAGCACATAGCTTTGAGTTCAAAACCCAGTCCCACCAAAAAGAAAAAAAAAAGAAATGAGGCGGGGAGCAGGAGGTGTTGAAGAAATGTGACAGTAAAAGAAACTTCCTGAAAGCCTGGAATTTACAGGTGGCTCTCACCTGTAAACCTAGCTACTCAGCAGGTGGATGTGATTTGAAAAGCCAACTTGAGGCAGATAGTTTGCAAGATCCTATCTCAAAAAAACCCAACAGAAAAAAGGGCTGGTGAATGGCCTCAAGGTGTAAGCCCTGAGTTTGAACCCCATAAAAAAAAAAGAAAGAAAAAGAAAACTTTCTGAGCCAGGTGTGGTGGTGCACACTTATAATCACAAAGCACTTGGCAGACTGAGATAGGAAAATTATGAGTTCAAGGCCAACCTGGATTACATACCAAGACCCACTTTCAAAAAAAAGGAAGGAAGGAAGGGAGGCAGGGAGAAAAGCTCTCAGTGGAAGGAAGATTCAACAGACAGAAAAAGAGAATGGGAGAAAGTGCCATGATGGTTGGTAAGAGAAATGTCACAGCAGACTTAGAAATAAGGCAGCGGGTAGGAGAAATGGTTGGCAGGTTGGCGAAATGAGGCAGTGGGAGCATGGGTGGAATTGGGGTTGTATGTAGTGAAAGGAGGCAACACAGTATCGAGCAAGGGATGCAGAAATGTTGGAATCTGGAAGGAAAAATAGGATGGCGGGAGTAACTCAGAGCAAACAGAGGAGTGGGGCAGCGGGTAACAGAGGGGAAGAGAGCCGGGTGGGAAGCCCCAAAATCTGCCTGAGGATGGAAAAGATCCAAGGCCCTGAGCCGCTCTGCACCCTCTTCCCAGGTGTATTTTGGGCGCTGGCTGATCGAGGGGGGCCCCCTGGTGGTGCTCCTGGATGTGGGTGCCTCAGCATGGGCCCTGGAGCGCTGGAAAGGAGAGCTTTGGGATACCTGCAACATTGGGGTGCCCTGGTACGACCGTGAGGCCAATGATGCTGTCCTGTTTGGCTTCCTCACCACCTGGTTCCTGGGAGAGGTAGGTGACATTACTGACCCCTCTCACCCTTTTTCACCCCAGTTGGAAACTACAGTGACTATCAGCCCCTGGTGCAAAGGATGGGCTTCTCTTGGGGCGTTCTGGGAGTGTAGATTCAGTAATCCAAGGATTAGCTTTGACCTTTGGTGACGTGATTATCCAGGGGTGCAGTGTCCTTCCTCATAGATCTAAACTATAATCTTAGCTTCATTTACTCCCACCTTACAAGTGTAGAAATTCTGAACCAGTTCCTATAATGGACCAAGGGCCTTGAGATGGCTGACACCCCCACCACAGGAATTCTGGGAGTTGTAGTTCTTTAGTCTGATATTGGCTGTGCTTATCAGTGTTCAAGTGGGGACCTGAATGCTACAGATCCACCCCTACCTCCCAGCATATGTAAGAATCCTGATTCTGATTCTCCTTTGAAGGTTCAGGAAACTGAATTTCTCGTGCCTTGGGACACCATTCTAGGAGTTGTAGTTTTTTGCCTCTTGCAAAAGGCCTACTATGCTTGATTGAGATAAGGAGTCTCTAGGATTTGTGTCCAGGACCTGGGGCCACTAAAATGTCATTTGCTTCAGTTCAACCTTGCCAGAACTTAGAAGATTTGGCAAAACAAACAAACAACAGTGCAGATCCCATCAGTCTTTGCGGGTGAGGCCAGCTGATGTGTCTGGCTCCTATTGTTTGTCTGTGGGAATTGCTGTCTGCAATGCGCAGTGGTGGTAATGGAGCCCCTCCCCTGCTTCCCTGTCCACGTTGGGGCTGCTGATTCTGTGCATGGCACATGTGAAGACACAGTGACCCTGTCTCTGTTGCTCCATAGTTCTTGGCCCAGAGTGAGGACAAGCCACATGTGGTTGCCCACTTCCATGAGTGGTTGGCAGGCATCGGGCTCTGTCTTTCTCGTGCTCGGCGCCTGCCTGTGGCAACCATCTTTACCACACATGCCACATTGCTGGGGCGTTACCTGTGTGCTGGCGCCGTGGACTTCTACAACAACCTGGACAATGTGAGTGGGGTGCGGGACATGGTAGGGGACCGTGCACACAATAGGAAAATCTGAAGCTCTGGCCCAGATCTTCTCTCTCAGAGTGGTCCAGACCCCATCCCTCCTCCCTCAGACCCAGG